TGTGGGACACTCTTAGGGGACACTCTTGTAGGACACTCTTGTGGGACACTCTCGTGGGACACTGTTGTGGGACACTCTTGTGGGACACTCTTAAGGGACACTCTTGTCAGACACTCTTGTGGGACACTGTTGCGGGACGCATGTTGTGGGGGGCTCATACGGGACACTCTTGTGAGACACACTTGTGGGACACTCTTGTAGGACACTCTTGTGGGAAACTCCTGTAGGACACTCTTGTGGGACACTCTTGTAGGGCACTCTTGTGGGACACTCTTGTGGGACACTCTTGTAGGAAACTCTTGTGGGACTCTCTTGTAGGACACTCTTGTGGGACACTCTTATAGGACACTCTCGTGGGACACTCTTGTGGGACACTCTTAAGGGACACTCTTGTGAGACACTCTTGTGGGACACTCTTGTAGGACACTCTTGTGGGACACTCTTGTAGGGCGCTCTTCGTACGAGACTTCCTCCAAAAGTCACACGTCAATTCTCCAAAACGAGCGTTTCGTACGAGACTTCCTCCAAAAGTCACATGTCAAGTCTCCAAAACGAGCGTTTCGCACGAGACTTCCTCCAAAAGTCACGTGTCAAGTCTCCAAAACGAGCATGTCGTGCGAGACTTCCTCCAAAAGTCAAGCGGAAACACCCATCGGAGCACACACATCACGCAGCCCTGCTAAGCAGTTTCGCGAGTCCAGCCCCTCCAAACAACACCCGTTCACACGCCAATCCCACTGTGACAGCGACATTCACCTCTACCACAACTCACACCCTCACAACTCCCCGCGCCTGCCACGAATCTTTCCGCATCCACACGTCTAACGCGCACAAAGTACTGCGCCTGCCACGAAATGTCACCTCCGTCACACCTCGCAACCTCACCATTCCCTGCGCCTGCCATGAGAATCGCGCAACAAAGCCCACACAAAGTACTGCGCCTGCCACGAAAAGTGGCAATATCATCTCATGTCAGCTTCAAAATTTGCACCACACCACACGTTTGGAATGATTTCGACCCGTTCTGAACACACTCCCATCCACCAAAATCGCCATTTCAGCTGAGACTGGTCACGAAAACAGAGCTTCGATGCCAAACCCTGAAAGGCAAATCCCAATGGCACGGCCACATCCAACGCCCCAAAAACACGACTCTCCAAACGCTAATCCCAATGGAACTGCGTAGCAAACTGAGGATCTCACAAAACGCTGCGCCTGTGCAGCGACATGCATCACGCTTCTTGCGCGACATGTCATTTTCATGCAAATCACAATGGAATAGCGTCGCAAACTGACACGTGACACATCCATGAAAAGTCACTTGCAAAAGCTTCCCCCAATGGCAGCGCCTTAGCGCTCTACTGCGGACACCTGCGGACGGTTGCGGACGTAGAAACAACGGATCGCGAACAAGGCTCTACCCCCAGACCCCCAAGAGTTAAACGAGAACCCTTCGCTACGCATTCGGGAACAATACTTGCTGGGAAATTTGCAGGCTTTATAGCGGACTGAAAGATAGAATTTGACGTGGTTCTAACTCGTGTGACCTAGACGGGGTTCTAAGTGTACACCTTCTACGGACGGACCGTCCACACGTAGGGGTTCTATCTTTCAGTCCGGAACTATAGGAACATTTAAGGATGAAATGAACGGTAAAATAATTACTCACTTTATTTATAGGATTGAACCAAGGGCATATTGTTATAAAGTGTATGGTGATGAGAAAGAACACAAGAAAAGTAAAGGAGTAGTCAAACATAAAGTGAGCAATCAGTTAAGTTACAAAACTAACGAAGAGACATTGAATAGAAACTGTAAAGAAGAAGTTTGTTTTAACACTATCAGAAGTAAGAACCATCAAATTTATAGCATTAATCAGACTAAATTTAAAGGCTTACGCCTAACAGCCGGGCGCCGCCCCACTTGGGTCTGTGGGGCGTCTGTCACGCCTATGTTGGCCTTGGTGGGGCTTAGATTGAGCAAAGTGAAGCTATCTGGTGCGCATCTTAGCCCTAGGTTGGGCCAAGTTGGGCCCATGTGGTCTATGTTGGGCACATCTTGGGCCCATGTTGAGCCTATGTTGGGCCTATGTTCGCCTATGTTAGGCCTATGTTGGCCTAGGTTGGGCCTACGTTGGGCCTATGTTGGCGTATGTTGGCCCCATGTTGGCCCCGTGTTGGCTTATGTTGGCCCTATGTTGAACCATCTTGGAGGCTATGTTGGGTATATGTTGGGATATGTTGGCTATCTTCGGCCTATGTTGGGGATATGTTAAGCAATTTATGTTGAAAAAATCTTCCGAGACAACTTTTTACGATTTTTCCTTCCCGCAAAGCAAAAACCATGGAAAAACCGACTTTTTTTGACATCGCCAAGATGAAATTCTCGGCCGCCGAGGGGCCCAAAACCCTGTAAAACACAGTGTTTTTTATACCTCACACACACACACACGATACACTGTAAATTACAGAGGCGTCAGTGAACCGGAAGTGACCAGGGGGTCCCCCCGTTTTGGTGACGAGGGTCGGCGGCAGGGGGCGCGCCCGTATATAACCTTCGGTTACCACTGAAGGCCTCCGGCGAGGACACGTGCGCGTGGCCGGCGCCCGGACCCGGATTTAAGGGCTTACGCCCGACAGCCGGCCAGGGGCCCAAGCAAAGGGGAGGGGGCAGGGAAAAAGGGCACGGGGGCGTTGTTGTTGTTGTTGTCGTCGTCGTCGTCGTCGTTGGTGTTGTTGTTGTTGTTGTTGTTGGTGGTGTGGTTGTGGTTGTGGTTGTGGTTGTGCTTGTGGTTGTGCTTGTGCTTGTGCTTGTGCTTGTTGTTGTTGTTGTTGTTGTTGTTGTTGTTGTTGTGGTTGTTGTTGTGGTTGTTGTTGTGGTGGTTGTTGTTGTTGTTGTTGTTGTTGTTGTTGTGGTTGTTGTGGTTGTTGTTGTTGTTGTTGTTGTGGTTGTTGTTGTTGTTGTTGTTGTTGTTGTTGTTGTGGTTGTTGTTGTTGTTGTTGTTGTTGTTGTTGTTGTTGTTGTTGTTGTTGTTAGCCCAGCAGCCACCCACGATGCAGACGAAGCACCCCGGTGCGGCAGGCATTTCCAGCATTATTTGAGGATATGTTGGGCCATGTTGACCCATCTGGAGCCACAAACCCGGAAGAATGGAAGAAGCAGAAAACACTGTAAAACACAGTATAGCGCCGGGGTCGGCGGCGGCGGGGGACTCCCCTCTCTCCTTCGGAGAGGAGAGAGATGGCCTACGGCAAGGACACGGCCTTCGGGCCCCTTGGGCCCCTGGCCGGATTTATGAGGCTTACGCCTGACAGCAGGGCGCCCGCTTGGGTCTGTGTAGGGCTGGGTGTCTTTCTCTCTCTCTCTCTCTCTCTTTCTCTCTCTCAGAAAAGTTAAGCTATCTGGCGCACATCTTGGCCCTAGGTTGGGCCAAGTGGGGCCCATGTGGTGTATGTTGGGCACATCTTGGGCCCATGTTGAGCCTATGTTGGGCCTATATTGGCCTATGTTAGGCCTATGTTGGCCTATGTTGGCCTATGTTGGGCCTATGTTGGGCCTATGTTGGCCCCATGTTGGCCTATGTTGGCTCTATGTTGAGCCATCTTGGAGGCTATGTTGGGCATATGTTGGGGATATGTTGGCTATCTTGGGCTTATGTTGGGGAGATGTTAGGCAATTTATGTTGAAAAAATCTTCCGAGACAACTTTTTCCGATTTTTCCTTCCCGCAAAGAAAAAACACTGGAAAAACTCACGTTTTTTGACATCGCCAACAGAAAATTCTCGGCTGCCGAGGGGCCCAAAACCCTGTAAAACACAGTGTTTTTTATACCTCACACACACACACACGATACACTGTAAATTACAGGGGCTTCCGTGAACCGGTGGTCCCCCCGTTTTGGTGACGAGGGTCGGCGGCAGCCGGCGCGCCCGTCTATAACCTTCGGTTACCACCGAAGGCCCTCCGGGCATGCCATGGGCTTCCTGGCCGGCGCCCGGATTGTAAGGGCTTCGCACTGGTGCCGCCAACCGCCTTTTTTAGGAAGGACCTGCAGTGAAAGCTTAATGTAGAAACGAGGAGCAAGAAGACACCATCTATTTCCACACCAAAAAGAGGCGAGCCGCAGCCAGCCAAAATGGTGGCCACAGGCAGGTCTTGCTGAGCAACTGGCCGAAAGCAAGGTGAGCCACCTTTTCACCCTGCAGGGGGGTTTCAAGCCTAGCCAACGACGCCATCTATTTCACACCAAAAAGAGGCGAGCCGCAACCAGCCAAAAATGCTTAACGTCGCCTGGCACGTCGCCTGGCACGTCGCCTAGAAAAGAGGCGCAGGCCAAGGCCTTCTAGGCTGGCTAACGTCTGCGCAGGGGCTTCAAGCCTAGCAAACGACACCATCTATTTCCACACCAAAAATAGAGGCGAGCCGCAGCCAGCCAAAATGGTGGCCACAGGCAGGTCTTGCTGAGCAACTGGCCGAAAGCAAGGTGAGCCACCGTTTCACCCTGCGGGGGGGTTCCAAGCCTAGCCAACGACACCATCTATTTCCACACCAAATAGAGGCAAGCCGCGGCCAACCAAAATGCCTAACGTCGCCTGGCACGTCGCCTGGCACGTCGCCTTCGGGACCGTAAAGAAAAGAGGTGCAGGCCAAGGCCTTCTAGGCTGGTGTAGCCAGTGCCTAACGTCAGCCAAAATGGTGGCCACAGGCAGGTCTTGCTGAGCAACCGTCGACACACTCTGGATCTGCTTGGGCAGAGAAAGGCAGCGGCGCCACGGCGAAGCGCTCTGGATCTGCTTGGCCTGGGCAACTGTTTCACCCTGCGGTGCCCCCGGCGTCAGCTAGGCAGGGGTCGGCGGATATGTGTAGATATTGTATATACATACATATATATAGCTTTTACTGGTGATTTGATGGTGCATTGTTGTATCATTTTCGGGACTCTGCTGTCCAAGCTTCTGACTTGCAGCACTTTGGAATGTTGGTCAATGTGTGCACTTCAGGCCCTCAACTATGTGGATTACCTGAACAAGAAGTATGAAGTGACCAACAAGGTGCCTAGACCCTTGTTTGGGATGAGCATGTTGCGAATCATAGACTGGCAGTTTGAGCGGCCAGGTGGGCTCCGCAGTGAATGACGCTCTCGAGAAGAGTGACAGCAAGGCTTTTCATTTGCAGACTGCCCTGTCAGGTAGGCCATTGTTGGCGATTATACAGTAGTTCCTTGTGTTCCTCAAGCACTAGGTGCGTAGCCTTTGATCGGTCCACGGCTTATGACCTTGGTAGTCTCAACAGGTCCTGTTGGACCGCAAAGGTACAAGTCTCATTACAAGTCTTGACACTTCAAATGGTTTCAGAATTCCAGCTATAAAATGTTAGAAGCGGGGGGGTTTGCTGCAGAAGACAGATGTTCTTCGTATCCCCGTGCTGTCAAGACGTGGCTTGGAACTCGGACTGTCCACCAGGAGACCGGATCGACTGTGAAGTCGACCCTGAGCAGCGTGGGCGATGCCATCGAGGGCTTCGACAAGGATTGTCTTAGGGTTTTTCATGGCAGTCAGGCTGAAGTAGGCTGCGTGTTCGTTTGTGGTGTTTTGAGATTTTGACTTGACTGATCTGATTGATGCTGACGGGGTTCTGAATTAAGTCTCACAAGAACCCTAAACAGCTGGCAGGACGTGGGCATCAAGGACACCTTGGGCAGCCTGGTCCTGGCTGGATCCGACCTTGCCAGTCAGTTGGCCACCAAGGCTGGGTCCACCAAGCAAGTATCATGGCATTGAGGACCGTGCGTTCAATGGTTTTGTGCGTTGAATGTTGTGCTTTCACACATCATCGTGGAGTTCAGCCACCTGAAAAGGTCATTGAACTCAATGAGGAGTACAAGGCTGACTGGCTTTCTGGGCTAATGGGGCTCATGCTCTACATGCGTGACAAGTTAGAGAAAATCATGGCATTCATTGATTCATGTACTCAAGAAGCTAATCTCTCTTCGGCTTTCCAGCAGAACATGGCACCCAGCCCATGGGGCCCATGGCCCGCTGGAGAGGTGACTGACCAACTGAAAGCCAAGATCGACGAAACCATTGATAAGGCGGCGGCTGCGGGCACTGTATACAGCAACCAAATGCAATTAACTAGTAACTAGTGAGAAAGAGCTTGCTGTTAGTGAAGGTATGGTCCCTACAAGTTTTGACTTGCATGTTAGGGCGTAAACGGACAACACAAAAGTTGTAAATGCAGGTGTGGAGACAAGAGCTGCTATCCCTTCTTCTATCAGAATCCAAACAGTGATTTTAGTGGATTATCTACCATCTATTCCCACGTAAAGCAAAGGTATTGCCTTTTGTTTTGGGGTGGACACTCCTTTGTGACAAGAACATGTCGTTGCGTCAGATTTGTTTGTGTCTGTTGTACCACGAGGAGAAACCGTTTCGACACTCTGGTCCTGTTGAAGTATTAGCTAATGCTTTTGCTTTGTGAAATCATCGTCTTTTGACACTTGCTGGACGCTGGTGTATTCACCGCTGGGATCCGCGATGGTGAAACATGGCTGAACAGACTGATCTAACGACCCAATGCTTGTGCATGCCTCTGCCTCTACCTTCCGCCAGTCCAAAAGCTCTTGAGTTATGACACCTGCCAAAGTCAGGCAGGAATGAGGGCGCGAGGTTTGAGAACTCAACCCTCGCGGCTTGGCGTTGGTCTCCAGTCTTGGTTGGTCTCCGAGCGCGGCAGGGCCAGTTACTCACAGGCCCTAGCACTTGACTCATGTGCTTGATGTGCGAGAGCGGTTCAGCGGTTTCGGAGACCATCCAGGTAGAGGTCCTGTAGCGTGGTCATTGCTCGAATCCCTGAACACAGGGGGGAAGTGGTGGAGAGGCGGATAAAAACTATTTTGCATGGTTTTTAGTTTCTTTTGGCATTTTCCATGAACGTTTGCCAGATCAAGGAAGCTCGCATTTCCCCTCTTTTTTTGGTCTCTTCCCCCTTGATCGATGCGCAGATGCCCTAGGCATTCCAAGCACCTTTTTTCATCAAAAAAGCCTGCAGCAGAAGGCCATGGAAGACCGGTAAAGGCACCAGCCTGGGGCACCACATCTGTGCTGACGCTGAGTTTCACTCAGTTCTCCAACTGGGGCCCACAGTCACCCTGAGGAGTCTAAGTGACACGCACGCACACGTGCATTAATGAGCAAATCCGAAATAGATTTGTTTACAACATTTTACAACTAGTAGTAAATAGCTACTAGTAGCTTCTTGTTACTAGTAGCGATGCACTTGTTTGATGCTTTTAGGATCGGACAGTTGACACGGTTGTTTGTTGATGTACCCCAACAGTTCTTGCCTATAGTGGCCACTACGGGCCCAGCAAAATACAAGAAGCCCCGAACAGAAGCTTGGCCACATGAACGAACACAGGGAAAGGGGAGTAACAAACTGGCTGAACTTGTCAGCAGTTCCTTGTCCACATTTATCAAAGAAAGTACAGCATCTGAAGTTTCTTGTCACGATCACTCTTGCCAATGGTCTCAAAATGCGGTGATCCTACTGTTCGACTCTTCCGAAGTACGCAGGGGGTGTTGTGTTTGGAGAAGTTGTGCGGTTCGCAGGCTTTGTGAGAAACTCTCAAGGGTAACTGGACTCCAGGGCACAGGATTTTTTGGATCCTCGAGGGAAGCTCCAGCTGAACACCGTCGGCTGCATCGCTGCCCATCTGATGCCGATCGAGACATGGAGTAGTCAAAGATATATTTGCCAGTTTCTTTTGTTCTTTTGCAAGCAGATAGGAATTTCATTGACTTGGCCATCACGAGCTACCCTGCTCTGCAATTTGCAGCGGTTTGAAGAATGAAGGAGGTTGCACAAGGGCTGTAGTGAAGGCGGTTCACACTCAAGGTATCTGTACCTCCATGTTCTTAAGTTTTTAACTCTACTGAAACGCGGACTAGCCTTTTTCGAGGTCCTTTTGTCTTGTGCAATGTCTCCACAGCACCCTGGCTATCAAGTACGGCAAGATGTACGGCATAGACGCGGCCGAGCACAGCTTCGAAATGGCTGTATCTCTTTATCAAAGTTCAGAGGCAGAAATGGCTGACGTTGACAGAGGCAGAAATGGCTCGCGCGGCTCAGCGCTCCTCGTGCCAATGGCGAGAGTGGACCAAGCTAGGGGGGTTGGGGACGAAGCTCTCAGACAATGAGGGTGAAAACAAAAGGCCACAGTGGCAAACATGAAGTTAACGACAAGAAGAGAGAGGGAACGAGAGATGAACGATTCATTGTATATCCCAGAAGGTTTGCCAAGACCCATCTTTTGCAGACACTTTTACCATTTTAGTATTTTGATGCCAGATTGATGCTGTTGCCAGGTTAGATCAGACGGCAGGGAAGGTTCAATGAAGCTGCAGTCCATGTACCTCTATGAAAGACTATCCTGAAATCACTATCCAGTCCGTCTTGGTCAGGACATTCCATTGAGGACGATGTGTAGAGGGTCTGAAAACCGAAGCTGGATTAAAGCTCAAGTGCTTTTGGGACGTTTGGCCGAAAAGACCAATCACTGCAAGGGACTCAGCCAAAGGCTAAGCAGCTAGCCGCAGCTAGCCTAAGAGCAGTTCTTTTTAAAAACCATTTGTTTGCTTGAGCTGTGAGGTCAGCTGTGAGGTCTTCCGCAAAAATCAAGTGCTCGACTGGCTCACTGGGTCCATCTATCAGTGCTCTCTGAGGCAGATCCACCATGGCCAATTTCCGAGGAGAGCCAACCGCAACATGCGCTGTTACATGGTGTAGCTCTGCTACCTTCTGACTTCCTTCAACAATTGCATCACATTTGGGCACTTTGAGTATTTACACACAAGATGACGTATGAGTAGCGTCATGTTGATATGACCCGCTTTAGATGTCCAGCCAACGTGTACCCCGAATTGAACACGAGTCGCAGTGCCAAAGTTTATGCGGGATCAAAGAAGCCCATGATGATCTCGCTGGTGATTAGCTTCCCTGTTTTGCACTAAACAGGCCAGATGAGGCCAGATTGAAGCCACCTCTTGCTCATGATTGGCACCTTCAAATGCTAGGGCGACTTATTGACATGACGGAGTCCTGATTGGTTCATGGCCTTGATCCCTGCCTAGCTATGCCTTTGTGCTTGGCAGGACGTCAGATCCGCGCCGCCAGCATCAGACTCAGATGATTGCAACCCTGATGAGTAAATCGTTCCCTACCCAGAAACCTGCTTTTTGGCATTGGAGTTCAGGATTCTGCCACATTCGGCTGAGGCGTGTTGCTTTTGCTGGCCTTGCTCGTTGTGCCAGCCCCGGGTGTGAAGAGATCCACAACTGAATCAAGCTCAATGGGTCACAAGTTCGGAGATCGGAGAAGAAGAAGAAGAAGAAGAAGGAGGAGGAGGAGGAGGAGGAGGAGGAGGAGGAGAGGGAGAAGGAGAGGGAGAAGAAGGAGAAGAAGAAGGCAGAGGAATGGTGGGAGAATGAATTGGGGTAAGAAGTCACATCGCACTCCAACTCCTACTGATAAAGCTTGTTCATTTGCACGCTCCTGACAATTTCAATCAGAGTTGCATAGGATGGAATATTTGCAGAGTCACACCTTCGACCAGACACGATGCAGATCAATTTGCCTTTGCCATCGATGCAAGTTTTCCTTTGGTGCCCACGCTGCGTTTCAAGGCTTGTCCACATGGGCCTGCAAGTCAAAGCACAGGTAACAAATGTAAGGTCAATAATAGTATGCTTTAGGAGGCAAGAGCATCAAGGCCCAGTTCTCCTTTCCAATGAGAGAGAGAGAGAGAACACTTGCATGGGAGCAAATTCAACATTGTCATTTGATGTCATTTGCATCCCAAGACCGCTCAGCCCATTGTATTGCCAAACCTCATGTATGTCATATATATATATATACTGTATACATATGCACATACAGGACGTCTTTGGTGAAGGTTAAATTCGCTCGGCCAATGAGAGCCCCTGAATCTCCAATTTTGAAGAGTTTTCCTACGCTTTCTCAATGACCAAGACAAGAAAGCGCATCTCAAGGGAAACCCCAGAGGGCTGCGCCTGAAGCCCCGGATGCTTTGTGATGTCGAACATCCATCCGGCATGCAAGCCCGTGTCAGGAGAGGAGTTCCATCACTTGACGTTCAACAAAGTTCGTGCCATTTAATGATTAAAAGGTGCAAAGTTTCATCAAAAACAGTTGGCATTCGATTTTGTTGGTCTGAGATCGTCCATCTGGACCGACAGGAGACTTTCATCTCCTGAACGTACAGATCAAGGAGCTGAAATGGAGTGGGACTGTTCTTGCGCCTTTAGTTTGAAGTCACCACCTCAAAGCTGACTAGAGAAGTTTGAGATGATTTGTTCTATGATTTTTGCACTTGTCCTTGGTTGAAGCTTAGATCGACACACTGTGTGATATATTTTATCATCACTGACTAACTGCAAGCTTTTGACTTTTGGCTCACTCATTTTTTTATGATTTGTCCAGGAGCATGTTGCCAAGTCTTTCACGGCACTGCTCACATGCAACATCAAGGTGCCAAAGCTTGAGTCTTTCTTCGACTCCCCAGACTCTTCCAAGCTTGAGAGGTATAGAAGCTCATATGATATTCTATGACGTTCCCATTGAACATGGTTCAAAGAGGTTTTCATTTTCTTGGGCCTGGAGACTCTTCCAAGCTGCTTCAGGTTCCATACATGAAGGCCGTGAACCTCGAAGGCCCACCACGAGCAGCTCGAAGAGAAGCGATCAAGGACTTGAGCGACCCAGCGATCATGATCGTTTGTTTTTTTTTTGGGAAGGAAGTTTAAGGTCATTGGGCAAGGATTCAGTCAATTCCCTTTGCAGTGGTTGGATTTTGTGCAAGCTGACAGGTTTGGAATGTTTTGGACAGCTCAGCTCAGTGTAGTTTTTCATTGATCGTCTGACTGGCCACGAGCCGCTCTAGCCGCTTGGGTTTGATGGCAGCACGGAACACAGCAGATCTAGCGTGTGCAATTTTTGTTGCCGCGAGGATGGTATGGAGCTGGGAAGGAAGTTCCTGGCAGAGGGAGAGGCCAAAAGCATTGCTTTTTTCCAAGTGAAATTCATTGGTTGCAAAAGCTTGCAGATTTCTGGCCCAGGCTGGAGCTCGATCTGCTACTTGGCTTCTGCAGCATTTGCCATGGGGTTGACTGTGAGAGTCGACGCGGCCGGCGGCTCTCTTTTGTTGTCAGCTGATGGAGCTGCGGAAAACCGAGGTTTGCCTGAAGTTGAAGAAGACGAAGTGGCTTCCTCAACAGCAACTTAGCTTCAAACCTCTCGAAAGTGCTGGTTTTGCCCCCAGTCCGGGTGAGATCCATCAAGTTTCAGAGAGTTGGAAGTAGCTTAAAGGAATGATAACCAGGGCGGGATCAATTGTTTCTGTCTAGTGACCATTGAGAGGACCTGGGATTGTAATCTTGCTCACCTGGCCAGGCTTGTCAATGTGGATGAGAAGGACCTCTACACGAATCATCCATTGCCAGGTCCAGCAAGAAATATAGAAATAGAAAAGGTATGGAAGAAGAGAGCATGAGAAGCTTTTTATGCAAGCCAACACAGCTAATTCCTGAGGCTTCAGAGATAGTCAGGAGCTCTTCGCGAAGGAGGCTTGTGCCACCAAGTAGCTTGAACTTATGAGTGCCATTCTCAACTCGGGCTCAAGAGGGGAGAGGGTGAATCCTGATGTAGCGCAAACACACACACACACACATATATATATATGTACATAATTTCCGTCGCGTAATCCTGTGATCTTGCTCTCTGCAGGAAGAGCTGGTCCCTCCTGGAGAAGGTTGGATTAGACACAGCCCTACCATGCAGCTTGGCAGAACATGACTACCCAGATGGGCTAAGTTTCGGAACGCTGGCAAATCATATTCCCATTTTCGCTTAGGTTGGTTCACGCTCACAGCACCCTGGATGCAATGCTCTTTCATGTAGATGATTTGTAGCTGGCAGATCAGCTCAGTGGATTTCGCTCGTGGCTTGTCTACTTCACCCGTGTATTTTAAGTGAAGCATCCTTCGGCGTTTCTAATCCTGCTGGTGGTTGATTGAGCTTCGGCTTCCAGGAGGAATGCCAATGGACGGCCAAAAACCGTTGCGAGACACCTTCCTCGCCCAATGAACCCCAGTCCATCTCTGTTTTTTCCTGGCAGAGCAGGCGACAATATTTCCCCAGATAGCGAAGCTATGGGGTTCTTACTTCAAATAACAATGAGTTGCCCGTGCGCGCTTTCGAGACAGGTTGCTGGTGCTGGTGCTGGGTGCCGGTGCTGGTGCTGGTGCTGTGAGCTGGCTGTGCACGTGGTGGAGACAGGTTGCTGGTGCCGGTGCCGAAGGTGGGTGCCGGGTGCCGGTGCTGGTGCTGTGAGCTGGCTAGGTACGTACACTGTTCTATGCGCAACGTCAGGCTCTCAACCGACCATTGTTTCAGCATGTTTCAGCCTGCTACACACAAAATAGTCGTGCTGGATACTGCTTGGCCTTGGGCGAGTGAAGCCTACGGGCTTTGCCCTTTGTGCGCACTCTTTTGCGCGCATACACTTATACGCGCAAGATCATACTGCCTTATCGTTCTACAGATCGTTGCTTCAAGCGTGCTACAATAGTGGCGCTGGATACTGCTTGGCCTTGGGCCAATGACACTTACGGGCTTTGCTGTTTGCGCGCATACTTTTGTGCGCATAAACTTATACGCGCAAGAGCACGCTAGGGATAGCTATGGGGGTCTTACTGCAAATTTAATAAGAATGAGCCGGCTGCGCGCGCTTTCGAAGGGGTGTCAGTGCAGGTGCTGGTGTTGTGGTCCTGGGTGCTGGTGGCGGCGGTGCTGGTCGGGTGCTGGTGCCGACCCCGTCTCAGCTGGCAAAGCGCACCGGTGCTGGTGTCAGCTGGCTGCGCGCGCTGGAGGCGCCGTAAGCTGGCTGTGCGTGCAGGCTGTGCGCATTCTTGTTCCAGCCAGTCGCATGTCAACAGGTCGTGGGATGCTGCCTAGCTATCTGGGTCTATGCTGGTGTAAGTTTTTTTGATACGAGCTCGACTGCAAAGATCGATTGAATTTGCGGATCGCTGGACCTGTGCGCGAGGTCCAGTGTACTTTGTGCAGAAGGGAGAGAAGGCGCGCGTGCGGAGGGCGCGTTTCGACGCGTGTTCGAACGAGCGACTGGTCGAACGAGGCTGGGAAGTATTGTCGGCAGGGAGCACGACCTGGGGAATGGGTGGATATTGATCCGCCCCACGCTCCACAGGAGCGGGAGGAGGGAACTGCGAATCGAAGGAATCTGTGAATCGTTTGGTTTGAAGGCTCTCGTTTTTGGAACGCTTCGAAGTAGAAAGACAGAGCTGACTACAGTAGCCCCAATCATATGTATATACTGTATATATATACTTTTGCGTGAACCCATGCTTTGCTCATGTCTATGTCATACAAGGGCTGAAAGGCATTTTGCTTGTATTCGTATTGCTCTTCCAGACGCTTCTACAATGCTTCAGATTTGGACAGATCTATATCGCCCTAGGAGTACGACATCAAAGTTCGAGCTGCGAGTGCATCTTGTGTGCGTGCCTTGCCATTCAGTCTTCCAAAGCGTGTTGGTGGAGACGTTATATCAGGTTGGAGGCCATCGTTAGTAGGTTGGAGGCCATCGCTAGTAGCTTTTTTGGCTGTCCACATCCCAGGCCGTGGGACGAAGTTTGACAGAGCAGTGACCCTCAACGATGCTCCTGGGACCATTGCATTGTCGGTGTGCGTGCGTGTGTGCGTGGCTCTCTTGTTCTTGAACTTGGGCAAACTGCTGGTATTGTTTCCGCGTTTGACTCATGTCGCTTGTTGATTGGTGGTTGTGCATACCATGCATACCCGACCACTTTGTGGTTCCTTTTCAAGCGGTCTAAAACAGAAAACTTTTGACACTGTGTCTCGTGTGATTTGTGGCGCTAGTTAAGGTCACAAAAATCGCACGGCTCTCTTTGAAGCTGGCCTTGAGCTTTGTGGATCGACCCGCAACTGGCTTTGCCACTTGGATGTGCCGGAGAGGAAATCCGTAGAGCTGGAGCTTTTGTACTTGGATTTTGGTCCGTTACAAGAGTTGGTCCATACCAGGCGACGTTCGGCAGGTGGCGGAGAGTGTCGCCCACTTGTGGGCTGACATCGAGGAGGGCTATATATATATATATATACACTGTACACTATATATGGTCATCACGACCAACCTGCGAAACCAAAGCTGGGTTCTGATACTCTCTGACATGGCCCTCCAGAAAGTCCACGGGTCGCGGGAAAAATTCCTCAAGAGTTGCCAGCATTCCCGTTGGATCTCGGATTTTTCCTTTTTCCGAGGCGCTTTTCCAGGGCTTGCGGACCTCCGAAGCGGCGCAGTGGTGTGCGGAGACGCTCGTTTGCACCGTGAAGCGTTTGATGCGAGGGGTGATGCAGTGAAGGGGAACATGGGGAAGCTGAAACCGTTTCGCAAGTGTCTGAAGTTTTGCTGTAAAATGAAGATTTGAGAAAAACAGGATCACAACCCCCTATCCCGTTCATAATACATTATACTTTTTTTGTGTTCCGGTGACTGTTCACCGGCCACCGGCCCGGCGCCAGCAACCGGCCACCGACGCCGGCAACCGGCCATCTATAGACAGAAAGACAGATAGAAACAGATAGATAGTTTTGTGAAAATATGTCACGTAACAAAGATGCACTTGAATGTAGCCGCGGGTCGTCCGCCAGAGCCATCGGTGACCGGCCACCTCTGCCGCCGACCGATGACCTGGAGCGATCGTAAAGGGAGTAACGCCAGCGAAGCTCGCTAAGTCCTTTAGCGACGATCTATTTGCAAGACACCAAGCAAAACGCAAAAAGTCAAAAAGTGAGAAAAGTCAAAAAGTCCAAAAGTCAAAAAGGTAAGGAAACGAAAGCACGCAGCTACTTTCGACTTTTCGACTTTAGTCCACTGGTCACGCGACTGGTCGTTCGATGGAACGCCTGAGAGAGGATCTGGAGGTCAAAACATGCAGCCCCGATGACCTTCAAACAAGAGACGCCCGCCAAAAGGACCCGGGGCTTGCCGGTGACTCTTTTTATCATCGTTCCCTTTTCGTGCACTTTTTGACTTTTCGACTTTTCGCGGTCGAAACAAAGGGTCGACATGGGTCGGCTACTTTTCGACTTTTCGCAAAAAGTTCGGAGAGCAAGTAGATCCAGCAGGACCAGCCACTATTGAATATAGCGTTGTTCACACGCCGTAGTCACCATGGCGACTCGTCTCGTGGGGGCGATCAAGCACTGTGTGAATTTGGATTGTCCTGTGATGTAACATGTGAACGCATAGATGCAATAAAGCAAGTACGGATAAGATACAAGATACAGGAAGGTAGGTCGGTGGATGGATGGAAGGAAGGCAGGATGGATGGATGGATGGATGGATGGATGGATGGGGAGATGGATAGATAGATGGATAGATCGATAGATAGATGGATAGATGGATAGATAGATAGATAGATAGATAGATCGATAGAGAGATAGACGCCAGCCCGTGGCTTCCCAAGCAGTGTTCCCTTCTGGTTTGGCGTCGCGCCATGACGTGCGCTGTGCTGTGCTCGAGGCCCCTTGCAGCAGAAGTGCAAGAATCTGCGCCAAAGACATCCACACTTTCGGGCAGTCATTTTTCTGCGCCGGTCCTCAAGCTACGGTCTGTCCACCTGACGCAGTTGTCAGCTGTACAGTGAGAGGAAAAAGGTCGACACATGCTTACAGGAAGGAACCGTGTCGAGGGTCATTAGTCATGGGTTTCAGGCCACAATGTTGGTATGCTGCGCTGACACAGAATCGGTCCTTCGTTCTTTGCGTCCACTATTGGGCATCTTGCGTTTTATCGGAGCCGGTGCTGGTGTGCGTCTGGCGGGCGTGTGGATGTCTGCCCGCGCCGGTGCTGGTTGTAGCTATCTAGCTAGCTATGATATTTGTGTCCCTCTTTGTCTATCTGTATATCATCATATAGTATATACACATAACTATTATTCATCTGCCTGTCGTGGTCGCTGCAATGACTATAGAAGAATCTATATGCAAACTGATTTATGATTGGGTCGACTGAGCCACTGTTTGCCAAAAGGTGCCTTTGTCTGCTGTCTACCCGTCCATCTTTATACCTGTCCAGTAACAAGTTCCGCAGATAACAAGTGTCGACGTGACAGAAAGAAGGATAGAGCCACTACATAGCGGTGGAGCGAGACACGAAGCACATCGGGTCGCGGAAGAAGGCAAGCTCGGCTCAGATTGGGGTGGCAGATCCCCTTTTCTTAGATGTGCACACTGATGCTTTGAACTGTCGATCAGCATTACGTTTCGATCATCGACTTTCACGCGTCGCGCTTCAGCGTCGTGACAGTTTAATCAAAACCGCAATGGTTTTTTGATCTATATACTTCGAAGATGTGAACGATTACTCAGAAGCAAAGTTGGGTGGCCCACACAACATTCATCATCTTCACAAAAAACACCAATGTAGAAATCCTTGTAACCGCAAGCGTGGAGCGAACCCGTTGGGATGCTTTTGATCAGCAACATTCTTGCATCCTTGCAACAAATCCAGGCTTTAGGTACGTCTTTTACCCATGGATTCTTCATCCCAAGTTGCAAAGCAGAAACGGTAGGTATATAAGACTCGTCGTTGCACAGATTCTCTAAGGAACTTTCACAAAAAACTTCTTCCAAGATTGGCTGAGAAGATTCACGTCTACAAGACGGAGGCAGAGCGCTTGTTTGCAGATTTTGTGAATTGACAAGGCATTTGGACCACGAAATAGTGACATAGCTTATTTTTTTTCACAGGGAAAATTGAATCTCGTTTGGAAGTGAAGTGTGGACTGTGAGTCTGCAGGAACTCCAGGAAGTCTTGGAGGCTGGCTGGCAGATTTGAGACCTTCCAGACTTAAGGACAATTCTAGAGTCAAGGTGAAATAGAGGCAGTGAAACATGGTCCTTGTTGATTCAGTCCCTTGTTCTTCAGGCTTGTACGAAACTGTATGAAAACGCAACAAAGTCTGCAGGCTCAGTCCAAAGTGTGCTGCAACCCCTGCAAGGCAACGCTGAAAGAACTAGACACTGAAGTCATGAAGAGCGCCTTTCCATTCAGCATCTTGTCTACACTCCAGCTCCGTATCATTGCTTCATGAGTCTGTTCTATGATGTTCCTCAACGTTCTCACCCCACAAAAGAAGCTAGGTGCCGTGCTTGGTGCCTAGTTTATGTGGATATAAAATAGATAACAGGGTCAAAAAAGCAAAGAACAAGATCAAAAACAAAAGAACAGGATGAAGAAAGAAGACACAAGATCAACAAACATCTCTGTCTCTGGCCCACTGGTCCCCTAGTCTGCCATGCCCCCCTGCTGGTTCCTTGGACTCGCTGGTCCGCTGGTCCCCTGTTGTATTTTTCCTCGCCTTCTCATCAATGCTTCTCGGTCTTTTGCTCCTTCTATTGTAGTCCATTGGCATCAAGTACTCTAACGGTCTTGGTGTGTTTCCAGAGTTTTGCAAAAAAGCACGAGAGTTGCGGACTTGCCTTAGCTTAACTCTATTTTCATTACATTTTGTGAGCGGACTTGTCTCTTTTGCTTCACTCTGGTGGGGAGTCACTGCGCCCTCCCCCAACCAGTACTGTATGAGGGAATATTCCTACATACTTTCTTGTACTTCCTTCATAAACTTTTGAGGAAAATAAGTTCGACAATTATTGAGAGTAAAAAATGAAACATTGTATGAAAAGTATTTAGTATTTCTCTTTTCTTATTCTTTCTCCTCCAAGGAAGAGGGCAATAAGGATGTAGTACCTGCAGTTAAGCAAGATATAAAAGCATGTTGTTAGCCTCTTCTACATGCAGGGGGAGTTCTTTTTTCAAGGATACCAAGAAAACCAGAAATGCTGTCTGGGGTCGATGCTGGTGTAATTTAGTCCCTCATACAGCATGTGATGCCGCCAAAGACATTGTGGCAGTCTGTGTTTTCTGACCGAATGAATGTCTGGTTTGGAATATCTACACCTGGCATCTTGAGGCGGTTGTTCGGCCCTTCTCGCGCTTTTGCTTGGAAACCGCTTCGTGGTTGCCGGTGTCGGTGACTGCCGCGTCCTCCTGTTGGAGGGCGAGGGGAAGGTGGCTTTGGGTGTTCGGGTAGTGGACTCTACAGGTTCCAGTCGCGTCACTGGCTGCAGGCCCAAGAATGGACTGGGTTCTTGACAGATGCTTAAGCATGTTTAAGTCAGAACAGTTGAAGTTCATTCACATTCACTCGGAAGACGATCTGCTTTGGACCAGCAAATGACAGAACACATCTCGCAAGTAGCAAATTTTGTTTGCGACAAAACTGCTATTGTTTCGCACCCAAAGAAAAGAGTTCCTACTTCCCATTGAGAAACGTTGGCGGATCCTTCTTCCCTGCTGTTTCTTTGGCAGGGAGCTGGCTCTACACGGCTTTTGGACTGCGAGGGCCGCCTTGATGACGAAGAAGAACAGCTGCGATTTTGGCAGGCAGGTGGTATGGACTCTTGGTTTTTCATTAGCAAGGTTTGTTCAGAGAGGGCTCGAGGCCTTTGGATACACTCCGAACGTGGACACTTCATACAATATCAAGAGTGTGGGGGGCTGGCTCACAAGAATTCGCAGGAGGAGAACCTCACGACTCAGAGGATTGATCGGGAACGATGGTGCTTTTGTTTGGCAACCGGTCCCTGGGAACTGTTCATTTCATCGAGGCTCACCAGGGAGCATGTCAGGGAGCACCAAAAAGTAGAGGACATTTGGTATGTTTTCTTTGATCAAAGAGGCCTCGCACTGAGGTGGTGGATGGCCTGTTGCACCACCAACAAGCCGACAAGCTGGATGATGCTAAGCGTATCCTTTGTGCACCCAACGTGTTGCCTGGCAGCCAGACAGTGAAGCAGTGTGGTGTGCTCTTCTTGGGGAGAGCCAGAGATTCTTTCGGATCTTGCAATTGAAATGGCTGCTCTGGTAGAGCAGTATCCCCGAACTGGCGGAATCTAGGCTGACAACAGAAGATACATAAACTTCATTTATATGCTTATCGGTTTCCACTGAAAACATGAGCTGTGGCTTTGGACAGATTCGCTACTCGCGCTATATGGCTATCGGCCCGTTGCGAGGGCAGTGGGGGCTGCAGGTTTGATGTGCTCTTGGCGCCTGATGATGAGCTTGATGTGAAGCAGGTGAGATATCAATTTGCATAGTGCCCTTAATCTCTCCAGGGAATCTCAGTGGAACAGTCTTTCAGTCACCTTCTTCTTTGATTCACATTCACTTGGAACTTGAAGGATGGCATCGCTTGTCGCTTGATTCCAGGTGCGTGGGGCGTATCGGAAGCTGGCATTGAAAGTCCATCCCGACAAGCAGAAGGACAAGGATTCTGTAGAGATGTATCTCGGAGCAGGAGGGAAAAGGGATGGTCCACCTTTCATAGCGAAGTCCGTTGAGGGACACTTTTTGATGCAAACGAATCACGCTGTGAAAACATATGAGACTGTTGACATACTTTGAACAACAGGCGGGACACAGGTTGGTGAAGCTCGACATGATGAGAAGACCGTTTGTATTTGTGAGTAGACTTCTGCGAACGAGAATCAAGGTCATAAAGATAGATGTATATACTGTATGTATATACACACAGACTACTTCACATTTTTGACCAAGTGACCAAGTGACAGGGAGCAAGACAGTTTCTTTCAAGAGAGCAATTTTCTTTCCACACAGACACACACACACACACACTTATGATTGGGTGTACTGAACTGAATGCCACATGCCACATGCCAGCCTAAGAAACCCAAATCCTGAAAGGGCCAGGAAAGCCCTAAAGAGCCTGCGGGTCTTCAAAAGGAGGTGAGGTTAAAAACTCAAGTCGAGGTCGAACGACAGGGTGACGACGGACGTGCATGTTTGCCAAGCTCATTAGCCCTTTACAGGAAAGTAGGGTCACAGCTTGTTCAAAAGTTCAAAAGAAGCAGGCACGTCGGTGAGCGTCCCCACCGATATTAGTGTTCAATGCAAGCCTCTTCGTTGGGCTGGTACTTGCATGAACAACCAGCCCCCTGCTTTAAAAGAAAAAACCATCAAGCGCAATCCAAAAGGACCCCTGTGACTACAAGGGGCACACACACACACACACACGCCTCCCCAAGGGGAGGCATATTTTCCGAGCTCCGGACCAGGGTGGGTAGTGAAACTACGAGAACCGGCATATTTCCCGGAAAGTTTGGTAGGCTGTGAGGGGAAGCCTCAGTTGACAAATGGCATCATCATGGAGACGAGGTGCAATCGTATGTAGTGGGCGATAGGGGAAAGGTGTGTTCTCCCGTGAGTATTCATGGGATGGTCCAAGAACGGGAAGACGGGGAGAGTTCACATAGTAAAGAACCAAATCTTCAAGGGTGCAAGTATGTGGTACTTCCCAGACCCTGGAGTCGCCCGTGGAGGGGAGTGCCATTCAAGAAGCAGGACGTTGTTGTCCCAATCGGGAATAGGTCACGTCCTTGAGATCATCGACCGTGTACTCTTTGGTCTCAATCTGGTCCGCATGGAGCGTCACTGTGATGTAGTTTAGCGGCTAGCGGCTGATAGACCAAGAGACTGATGTCCAACTCAAACCGTACAGTGGCGAGGTGGGGGACCTGGTCAAGGGTTTCGAAAGGTTGTCGTATGTCTCGCCACTCAGTGGGGATGAGTTGCGTCAAAGGTTCGGAACGCGCAGTCCAGGGGAGGAGATCATGGGGGACGAAAAGTCACGAACAAATGATGTTGTAGCAAGCCGAATGGCTGCGGGTATCAAAAACACAAAAGAGGTGTGGTGTGGTGGAAATCATGAGAAGGGAGTGGGGTACATGGGTGAAGAGCGTGTAATTGGAAAATTGTTTTCAAGTTGGGGACAAGTCGAATGAAACCGAAAGGAAGAAAGATCGGGGAAGCTCTTACAGCCTCAACCCACAAGGAAGTAGTCAATCGTGGCCCTCAGTAGTGGAGCGATATGGAGGGGGCAACGTGGTCGGTGGTGATTCCCGCCGGAATCCGGAACAGGCGCATCTGTCCCAGCAGCGGGTGGAACAAGGGGTAGATCCAGCTCGGTAGGGACAGAGGGTCCAGCAGCGTCAGATGATCTGCAGTTCTTCCTGATAAATGGTCAATGTGTGGACCAAACCGTCGAGCATGGTGTTCTGTTGAACCGGAGTGAGATGACGAACGCCCGAGCTGGTTGAAACGTCCAACTGAGAGAATTGCTGAAGCATGTGTTCAAGCATGTTGTCAACGCGTGTGTACTCTAAGTTGTCCACTGCCTGACATTTCCGGCCACGAGGATGAGCCTCTGGAGGGGATCCTTGGGTTTCGAGTCGTTGTTCCTCTTCAAACAATGCTTGTTCCCAGCTGTTGCAAGCCGGCCAAATGGGAAGGCTGGGGGTGGCGCCAAGAACTAATTGCCAGCCTCGGGTTCTCCAAACCCGATAGTGATAGTCTGACCCGGTGGAGTAGGGATGTTGATCGAGGAAAAAGCCATGGGTGGTTTTGAAGTAGGCGGCGTCATCATGATCCCATCTGATTGTCTGGTCGTGAAACCAGGCTCGATAAAACCAATATCGGGCGGTGCTATAGCTGCGGCGTGTCCATTCTTCATCAGGTTGAGCCGCGTAGAAATGTCCGTGATTGCGAGCATGGGAATGATCAACGTAGTCTTGATTGTATTGGTTGTCAACCCGAGGAAGACTGGGTAAAAGGGTGGGGTCAAACAATGAAGGCTCCTCCGGATTCTGCCTTGGAAGGTCCGCAAGGTCGAAGAGGACGTCCGAGCCATTGGGACCAAGAGGCAAAACAATGCGTGAACTCAACTGCATTTGCGCGGGATTCAGAAGGAGTGAAGACTCTGTAGTGGTCGGTTGCCTGGGGGAAGGCTGTTCCATGGTGTCGGAGGTGTTTGTGGCAACAGCAACGGCGTTGTCGACGAGATCCATGAGCGTCAATTTGGGCAAAGCAAGGGATGTGTGCAACAAATGATCAAGGTGAAATGGCTGCGGGACATCAACGTGGTGAGAAGGAATGATAACAAGTGGAGAACATGAGGGCCAAACGTGAATTAGGGTGGGATGTTTGCCTCAGGCAACGTAAAGGGTAAAGCCGGCTGCGGTATCCGAAAACGGATACGTTCGCCTGTGGGTTTTGCCAAAAAACCAAAAAGATCAGTCGGGCATGTAGTCCTAGTCATAATCGAGGATGAAGACGAGGAGGGCAGCTGTGTCGGCAAAGTGCTCGCTGCGTGGATCAAGGAGCGTAAAGTGGGCGGTGGTTCCATAGGCCGAGCTTTCTTGGGAAAGTTGGTAGAGAGGAGCTGAGGTTCATTTGGATCACGTAGATGTGGTGCCTGGGATGGCCTAGGTCGTCCCTTAGCCAAGGAAGGTGTTGAGGGAGTCGAAGGTGGTCCATCAACGATGTCAGGCATGAGGGAAAGTCAGCGGTGAGAATCAAACCCGCAAGTAAAAAGTGGTAGTTTGAGCCGAAGGACTGTGGCAAGGAGGTGGGGCCAGTGTCATGCAGGAATCACAATATGTAGTCATGGGAATTGGTGTCATGTGGTTGCAATGGAAATGGGAAACGTGACGCATGCAATCCGCAAACAGTAGGAGTTGTCGTTTTCACGGAAGTGTGAAAGCTGAATGGTGACAAAGAGTTTTACAGTTACAGTCTCAGAAGTGGGGCTTCACGTCGAAGAAGTCGGGTGTGGAGTCATAGCTCGTTGAAGCTCCAAAAGATCGGCCCATCTTGCTTGTATCTGAGAGAGTGGGCGTTGCATCTTTCGAGCGACATATTGCCAGGACGTGGCCGTTCATTGCGGTGGAGACTGAGAAGAAGATCGTCATCGTGTGCGCTCCAATCATCGGGTGGGGGGAGTGTGAGTGGGGAGTGGCAGGGGAAGGGGAGAGGGGGGTGGGGTGACATGGGGGAGGGGGAAGGGGGGACGTTGTTTCCGTCGGAAGTCGACAGTGAAGTGACCAGGCAACGCCCTCACACTCAGGGAGTGGCCGGGTGTGGGGGGTCGACCCTTCCACTGACAAGATTGTCAGAGTTCCAGGTTTAACGGTCTTGCAGTTGCGAACACTGTAGTTTTTATGACATACTCGCTGCGAAGTGGGCAAAACAGTTCTCCGTGGCATCTTTGTACTAACTAATGCCCCCGGTGTCTAAGATGCAATTGACTGTTTTGACTCATAGCGTTTCGGCTTTCAGCCCCACCCTCTACCACCCGGAAGGGGCATGAAGGGCAAGTCTGCAAGGAGAAAAAGGACTATGGAAGCTAGTTTTTCTTTTGTTTTTTTCGGACCGCCAACCTGGAGGTTACTGTCACTCGAGAATTCGAAGGTGTGGCTCGTTCGACAGTGAAGTGACCAGGGGACGCCCTCACACTCAGGGGGTGGCCGGGTGTGGGGGGTCGACCCTTCCACTGACAAGATTGTCAGAGTTCCAGGTTTAACGGTCTTGCAGTTGCGAACATTTTAGTTTTTATGACATACTCGCTGCGAAGTGGGCAAGACAGTTCTCCGTTGCATCTTTATATATGTATACACTTTAAGTTAATGAATAAATTCACACTTGCAGGTAGCTTGCGGACGCAAGTTTTATGTTCACTGAAGTTCACAAAATGTCTGACCGGGACATTTTGGCTCAAGGTGGTGGCAATCATCCACAGGATTGCACCTGAAGGTTGGAAGAAAACTCCCTAGTACATTGGTTCTTGTTGACGACGACGGAATGGCGCACCCAATGGAACCGGAGTATGTCATGATTGAGTCAGTGCGAGATGCCCAACTAGACGTTGAGGATGGGACTACAATCAGTAGCCCGGGCATGGAGAGTTTGGATCAGGCAGCTGATGCTGCGTCTGCAGCCCTCCGTCATGCGGAGGCGGAAGGAGCGAGGGGCCTCGCCATTTTTGGACAGCCCGTTTTGGTTTCTGAGCTGGATGCTCAGGCGCAGATCCGGGAGTTGGAGCGCCACCTGGAAGCACTCAAGGTCCAGATTGCGGAACGCGAAGACGCGGACATGGGTGTGGACCTCCTGCAGTTAGAGGACCCGGCTGATGGCGGCGCTGGCCAGCCCCCCTCTGCTCCTGGTGCCTCTGGCCCAGCCTGGGAGTGGCCCACTAAGGACAGCCAATGGATCCTGCTGAAGGCTGATGTAACTAAGGCCCACCGACGAATCAAGGTCCTGCCCCAGGACTGGCGATTCCAGGTAGCACAGTTGGACAACGAATGGTGGGTCAACAAAGTGGGCACCTACGGCATGGCAAGCGCGCAGCTCTACTGCGGCAGAATGGCGGCCTTGCTCCTACGGATCCTCTATTACCTTTTCCCACAGATCGACTGGGGCTTTGTCTTCGTCGATGATTTCTGCTGGCTCCTTCGCCTGCCCACGGGACCGCAATTCACTGCGGCGCTTGGGCACACTGGTGGCTTTGGGAACGCCCCTTAGCTGGAAGAAGACTCACCTGGCAGAGATCAACACCTGGCTTGGGTTCGTGGTCCACCCAACCATACCTCGAGTCCAGATGGCGGCCCCCAAGCACATCAAGGTCATGGAGCTCCTGGAGGAGCTCGCCAATGGATCCCCCATGTCAGCCAAGGCCATTGAGAAGGCCATGGGCCGGATCCAGTGGGCCACGGCATGCTGCCCCTTGACCAAGTCTTTGCTCCAACCGCTCTGGGCTTGGAAGATGGCAGTCAGAACTATGGGCCATCCACCCAAGGTGGTCCGCATGTTGGCTGCCCTCCTGAAGGAGCTCTTCACGCGCCCCTTTGAGCAGTACTCACCCTTCCTGCCAAAGTCGCCTTGGTGCGGATGCAGTGATGCTAGTGCATCGAAGACAGGCGAAGCCTATGTTGGGGGCTGGTGCTCGGCCTCCCCGAACCCCACCAAGGACAAGGTCCTATGGTTCCACTATGCCATTACAGCAGACGCCCATCCGTGGGCATTCAAGGATGGCAACCCTCAGAAACGCATTGCTGCCCTGGAACTCCTGGGCACGCTACTTCTTTGCAAGCACCTGGTGGCCCAACAGGGCCAACTGCCGGGAAGAGTTCGTCTCCCGGTGGGCAGCTCAGGCAACATCTTCAGCCTGCTCAACCTCTCGGCCAAGAAACCTTACTCGGCGGCACTGCTAATGGAATTGGTTCTCTTCCTTCATTGTGAGGGCTGTAGCATTGCTCCCAATCATCCGGACTTTGAAGGATTCTCCTTAGATCGCCGGCTACCGGCGCCGGAGACTCTCTTCATTTTTCCTTTTGCTACAAAACTTTTGTCCGCAACGGGTTTTTCCTAGTTGCCCACCCAAGATCCCGTGACCGGATCCGGTGGGCTGTCCTCCCGACCCTGTCCCCTGGCACCTCGACAGGTGCCTGTTGGCCCTGGGAGACCAGGGGACATTCGGGTGTTTTGGCAGCGACGGGCGAATCCTACTGCCTGACACACCCTTGTCCCCCTGGCGAAGTCCAGGGCAGTTTGAAATGGACTAAATGATACAGGGTCTGGGGGAGGACCCCAGCATCAACCAAGGCGCATTGGGAAAAGCCTGTATGCAGCTTTTTGCGCTCTTGGGATCTTTTTGACTTCTGGGTACATGAACATGTATATATATTTTTATATATATAGACATACACAGTATATATATATATATACGATACATACTGTGGCTAAAGCAATGTGGCCTGGATTGGTTCCAGAAGCAGTGGAATGATGCGTACTTTCAAGCCAGTCTTGGCTGAGGTGCAGCCAGGTTTTTCCCGTAGAGGTGTCACACATTTGTCCTGGCGTTTTTCCATTTGCCCAATGAGAGAGGACTATCCACCAATATGGCCGTGACGTACTCGTAGATTGACAAAGGTTTCATTATAAAACTTCAAGGTACAACAAAATGAACACACATGCTCAATCTCCTTCAGCCTCCAGGCATTGTGTTTGCTGACACATCGATGATCAAAGTATCTAAAATCAAACTTGCCAAGTCTTGGACTCTGAGGAAAGCTTATCAATATGCCTTTGCGCGGTTGGAAGAGATTTTGCCTCAGAGGTTTGTGCACGAGGGTGTAAATTCAATGGGCCTTTTGAATTATCCAGTCGTTTCTAGCAAGATAATGTGAAGCTGTTGCAGACTTGGCAATTGGAAGGACTATTCGGGCTAGAAACCAAAGACCCAATACCCTCGCACTTTGAAATAACTTAAAGATGCGTCTTCTTCTCTTAGGTCCAAAGAAAGGCTCGAAGGAATGATTGAAGAGGCCGGCCTGCTGGGTTTGAAGGCCTTTCTTTCCTTGTTACTAGTAGCTTTTTGTTACTAGTAGCGATGGCCTCCAACCTACTTGCGATGGCCTCCACCTACTTGTGATGGCCTCCACCTAGTAGCTTCTTGTTACTGGTAGCGATGGCCTCCAACCTATTTGCGATGGCCTCCAACCTACTTGCGAGGGCCTCCACCTAGTGGCTTCTTGTTATTAGTAGCGATGGTCTCCAACCTACTCCACCCAATAACGTCCACATGTTTTGGGAGGTCTGATCTATATAACCCTTTGGAAGACATGACATACACTCCTTTTTTTCATAAGTTCACACATCAGCATCACATGGCATGCAGGATTTGGAAGCGTGCAAGCAGATGCGCCGAGTGCTACATGCAGAGGCTGACACGGAGAATCTGATTGCCAACTGCTTGTGAGAATCGTTCCAATGGCCCAAGCCGAGGTGCACACTCGTTCAGGAGCTGCATCCCTTCTGGGTGTGGACTGGACACCCGCCTCTGCAACTCGACGGAGTAGTCTCACACTTCACCAGTGACTGTCCTGACCCCAAAGTCCGATTACACCGTGGATGCGTTCGTTTGTCCCGGGCGAACGGATTCCACGTGGATACGAAAACCAACTCCTTCTTCCTTCTCAGGATTCCATCTTGGAAGAAATAGATTCCTGGCTGCAGACAGGCGTGCTGTGGAACGAATAGAGTTTCGCAGACTGATCCGAGTGAAACATGTGTCTCAGTCGCTTGCACCTGCCCTTGTTGTCTGAGGAGCAAGATGCTGCCAAAGCTGCGAAAGAGTTGAAGAAGAAGTTTGCCAAATTGCAGGTGCCAAAAGAGTACTCCGAAGTGTTGCTCACCAATTGACGTCCACTTGTGTCTGCTGTTAGGCCCTCCGTGTGAAGACACCAGGAAGCTATTTTGTGTAGCCACATTGAGTTTTTCAACGGCATATTGATGTGGGTTGCTGTTGACATTCGGCGATCGGAGAGAAAGGCCTTTGCCCCTGACTTCGGCCAAGCAGAAACTATTTGCTGCTCGACCTGCCTTAGTTGCAAGATCTTGCTGCTCGACCTGCCCCCACAGTTGCATACCCCAAGGGCCCCAAGATCAGGTTTTCGACTCCAGGTCCGCCTCCACCGATCACCGGTGGGCACCGAGGTGACGAAGCCGTGCGCACCATGGCGCGGCCCTGTACGGTGGAGTCACTTCCCAGGACGGAGGCCTTGCTGAAGGAGGGCCTTCAGATGAGCCGTGCCCTGGGACTCTCGGCGTCGGTCAAAGTTCTGTGAAGAGTGGTGAAGTCTCCTTGTCCTTTCTACTGCCTTCGTTCACTTTGTAGGTGCCTGGTGGTGAGTCATTGGTCTTCAATCGTCTCGACTCTGTCGGCCGGTCGCCTGGTGAGACGAATCCGGACCAAGGCGTGAGAGATCTCCGCTCTCCCCGTTCCGTGGTGGTTATGGAGCCGAAGTCGGCGTCCCACTTCGTGTCCACCAGTGCAACCATTCGCTTCGCCCTGCTGTGTCGGGGTGCCTAGACGGTCGCCCAGATTGGCTGGGACCGACCACCTCCTTGGATTCTTTGATCTTACTTCCTTTCAACATTTTCATCCATACTGATATACTGGCTACTTTAGTGGGGAAGTTGGTGCCCCAAGCCTACTGTTGGAAGACAGCTTGTTGGGGGAGATCAGGCTTTTCTGAACAGAAGCCAAATGCCTTCGACCAAATCTAGAGATGCAAAGTACAGGACCACAGCCTCATGCTCGCAGCACCTTGTGTTCTTTGTAATGATGTTTTTGTCCTCTTGATTTCAGGGAGTCTGGAAGGATGTGATTAACATGTATTATATAGCTAGCGAAACTACGGCTACGTTCATGCTGTCAATTCAAACGACATCGAAGCGCAAGGCTTGGACGGCCTGGGGTTCTAAGGCGGAGCCACAGCTGCCTTGAAGGACGATCAATTGGTTCAGAGCGCGGCATCACACTGCCGCAGGCGACTCCTTTTTTGGAGCGACTTGTGCAACTTCTCGAGTGTATTCCTCAAACACTTTCTACATCTTTCTACTTTGCAGTTTGATATTTGGTTTAAAGATCTTAGATGTTGCGTCATTTATAGACTTATAATATATATATATATATATATGTGAGGAAGAACCTCCAAAACCCAACTCATTCTGAAAGCATCGGCACCCGTTCATCCGCATTCGCCTCCGACCGTCCCGGCTTTGAGGCCCAAAGCATCTGCATTGGCATGGAACGCCCTGGTCGATGCGCCTTCGAGCGCGGCAGATGCTTGGTGGCGTTGGTGGCAGCCTCAGACGGTGCCAAAAGCTTGAGACGGTGCTAACTGAGGTGTGCATCAGCATCAGCCCCAGTGGCAAGGCAGGATGAGCAGGAATATCAAAAATGGCCGAAACCAGCTTTGAGTTCTGAAAAAGCTCATGTGCCCATATGGATGTAGGATGATGTAGGTACGAAGTGTAGACGGCATCATGTAGATTGGGCTTGGCGATTGAAGCTTTGATTTCCACGAAGCAGAGAAATCTTTCGATGCAATGTTCCAAGATTTCACAAGGCATCACAGTTCTTGTCTCAGGCTGAGGCGCCGGCAGCCAAGCGCCAGAAGACCGCGCAGGGTGCAGACACCGTGAGGGCACGCCATATTCTTCTGAGACACCAGCAAGTGCGACAGGTGCTGGAGCCGGGGCTGCTAGTTCCAAGCAGTTGGTACAAATGTTTGTATTTATATAAGCTTTGCAAAGCGTTGCTCATACATATTTAAAAGTGTGAGGCTTGGGTTTGAGGTTGCACCTGCTGGCATGACACCAGAAATGATCTGATCATTGTGTTAAACTCTCACCCCCTCAAACAATTAGATTAATATATACAGATATGTATATATCAAGGATATTTAGTGGAGCCATTGTTCAGAACCCTTATGAATCAAAACTGCTTTGGTCGACGTGAGTGCCAGGCAGATCCCATGCTTCGAAGAGATCCAGGGCGAAGCCTGCAAGAGGCGGAGGAGTTGGCGCTGAAGACGCTTGAGACTCTCACCAAGACTCCGATGCTTGGAGTGCGCTGAAGACGCGCTGAAGACGATTTGTGCCACCTTTTTTGCGCAGTGATATGAAGAAACACAGTCAGTGGAGTCAGTTTTTGGTCAGGGACTCTGAGATATGAAGTACACGTTCAGGGACTTGTTCTTCAATCTAAACGAGAGATTGGAAGGTACTCAGTTACTCAGCAGGATAGAGTCTGCTCACTTGCTCATGATTGCTTAAACCCTTGATTTGCCATGCAACGAATCTGCAAGCAGATTGCCGCGCCGCGCTCCCAGCACTTCAGGAACCAATTTCCGAAGCTTTGCAGGTGCGATGGGAAGTCTCGAAGAAAATGTTTCAGAGCAAACCATGGCAACTCATGCACTTTATTTTGCAATCTCACGGCAGAATTTTATAGCCACAGAGACATCAATCGAACTTGACAAGGAAACCTTTCTAGGCTTCAACTCTACTTTGTTACAGTAGTCACTAGTGCTGCTGACTCCACATGGCCCCTGCTGGTGCACGATTTTTTTGGAGCTCCCAAGCTCCAAGAGATGGCTAAGACCGATCTGCGTTAGCTCTTCTCGCCGAGGGAGCTCTCGGACTGCCAGACCGGGGAGCAGCCCGGTCAGCTCTGTGGAGATTTAGGATGGGTCGCCACCGGGTCGCAGGGTGGCAGGGTCGTTGAGTGGAATGCAACCTAGAAGCGATGGCCTCCAACCTCGAAGCGATGGCCTATAACCTAGAAGTGATGGCCTCCAGCCTAGAAGTGATAGATGTGGAATGGGTAGCACCCGGTGTGGAGACCTTTTGTAATTTTTGTCAGACCTAGACATGCTCCTATTTCTTTTCAACCCATGTCATTATATACATGATGAACATCTGTGAACTTGATATGTATTTTGCATGTATGATGTAATGGTCGTCACGATACCTACAACAACTTCAACTGAGCGTAGGATTCTCAACATGCTCTTCACGACAACTAGTAACAAGTGCATCGCTACTAGTAACAAGGGCAATACTACTAGTAGCATTCTTGCTACTAGCAACAAGGACCGTACCGTCTTTTTGCGATACCTTGATCTCCACTCACTTCAGTCACCACCAACTCTGACATCCGAGGCGAAAGGGCAGGGTGAAGCTGTCCTGGACGAAGCCATCTTCTCCCTGGCAGTATTTTGACGCAAATATCGAGATTTGAAAACCACCCGAAATTAAGAACTCAACTTTCATGTCCAGCTTGTAGTAGGTCTGAGCAATGCCTAATTGCTGTGCTGGAACGATGAAATTGACATATATACCCTAGGAACAAGAAGCTACCAGGGGCTCCTGGCCTCACTACTAGGAGCAAGGACTCTTCTAGGGGCTCCTGGCATAGCTACTAGGAGCATTCTTGCTACTAGGAACAAGAAGCTAATACCCCTTAAGCGGAACCTTACAGCTGACAACCGGTGGACATGCCACCATCGAAGTGTCTTTGAGTACGTGCTATCTTCCTCAATGCCTTTTTGCTTCACACATGTTGTATTTTGTGCGAAAAAGGACAAGTTGCAATAGTTTTGACTCGGAGAGCTGACCATGAAACTGTGACACCCAACAAATCACCCGTTGTGCGCCCTTCCCGTTGGAGGTGAATGAGTTCAGTGACCTCATCGCCGGCGCTCGAGGGCTGCACGTCTTTCAGCGCTTGGCGTAGTCGAAGCAAAACAGTCAGCGCGCGTCGCTGGGTGCGGCGGGTCTCTGGGCGAGTGTGGCGGGTCGCTGCGCTGGTTGTGGTTTTGGGTTTTGGAAGAGATGCGCACCAGTTCTTCAGTCATAGAAAGTTGGGAAGACCATCCCTGGTCTGACAGCTGGTGAAGGGTTGAGGGTGAGTGCCATGTGCTGACCACTTGTGGTTTGCAGTCACATGACCTCCACTTTCTGCAGTCCTCCGCTTGTGAAATTGCAAGGCGCCATCTTGCTTCACTGGACTTGTGGCACCAAGGAGAGTCTTTTTCCTTTTGCGAAACTGCAGGGTACCAATCTGCAATTGCGCTGAAGCGCCACCAAGTCCACAAAGAGATACAAAGAGGATTTGGGCACAGAATGTTTATCTATCATTATCTATCATTATCTATCTATCTATCTATCTATCTATCCATCCATCCTTCCTTCCTTCCTTCCTTTCATCCATCCTTCCTTCCTTCCATCTATCTATCTATCTATCCATTTGTCTGTCTATCTATCGATCGATCTTTCTTTCTTTCTTTCCTATCTATCTATTTATCTATTTATTTTCACATATACGTAAGCGCCCTGCAGGACCCACAGCAAGACTGTGGTGTTTGGTGAGGCCTCGAAAAAGCGGGATACACTTTTCCGACGTGGCGCACCTGTCAGGGCGCTTGATCGTTTTCCTGGGTGGACATTTGCTTCTGAACTAGCTCGAAACTGGCGTAGGCAGATCGAAGTACTCTCAAAACCACATGTTGACCAAGACACATTTTAGACACTGCCCCCTCCCCACAAAATCTGGACTGTTGTGCGAGGGACACATGTTTTTCCCTGCTTTCAATAGTCAATGTGCATGAATGATGTGAATGTCACCCACCCACGAAAACACCATGCCATAGTCTAGACATCAAGTTATTTATGCCGTATACTTATTGTTGTACGGGCGTATAGGTGCTCTTCCTACTAACTTGTCACATCTTGGTCGCAACCAGGGCTGCCAGCTGACACTGTGCGAGGCTGCCAAGGCGCCAGCGACGCCCCCACCAGCCTCTTCCGGCTCCTCCGTGGCCCTGGTGAAGGCGACGCTGGCGCCGTTCGGCTCGCGCCGTTCGGCTCGCGCCGTTTGGCTGGCGCCGCGCTCCCGTTCGTCAGGTCACCAAGGAGAACAGCATTGCGACTGCGGGTGTTTTGGGCGGCGTCACTGGTCTTTTGCTGGGTGGCTTCTGGGCCTTGAGCCTCAGGTGTTGACGGAAAGAACTGGAAGCACTTTGACTGCGACCGACCGTTTCGGTTTCCATATGTTTCCATGGAGCCCATTGTCAGCGAATGAATGCTAACACCACTTTTTTAAATTCTGCTGTGCTCAGATCGGTGCTGCTGGCTTTGTGGCCACCTCCTACCTGGCCAAGAAGGAGGTTGCTGGGTGGTTGGGTTCCTGTTTGCTTTGGAGAGATCTCTATCACTCGGTACTGGTTTGTGAGTAAAGTGCAAAGCCAATAGCAACCTAAACTAAACCAAGGTGGGTGTGGGTGACATTGCAGTCTCACCAGTCTTGATTGTCCGCTCTTTTTGCACCCGGATGACGACGGCCAGGATGACGATGTGTCGGCCGTCCTGAAGGGCGTCTCCACTGCCTCGTTGGAGGCGACCGGGTGGAACGATGAGTTTCACGGAGCCGTGAAACCGGAGCCCCCAGTTCCGGTCCCGTTTCGTCCGAGGGAATTGAGGGGTCGTTCCGAAGCCTTCGGAGACGCCCTTCGGTGTCTTTCCACTAATCCCTAGGCCTTTTGTAAGGCTTCACTCAGTGATTCAGTGAGCTGCTCGGCGAACTGGCCTCTTTTTAGGCGCTGAACTATGTGGACTACTTGAACAAGAAATATGAGGTGACCAGCAAGGCGAGACTGACGGGACGACTCGTCGCGACATTCGCGGTGATTCTCGCGTGATTCTAGCTGGCCCCGAGTCGCAAAGGAAGAGGTCCATTGAAGTTCTTGTAGTCACGAACATCTTCTGAAGCATCCCTTGTCACACCTACTGTTTGGTTTCGCATCTTTCGCAGATGCTTGAAGATGTACTTTTTGTGCGTGGGTTACCGGGTTGACACGGAACTCATTTCTTTCAGACTTTGGGCCGGATCGACCCGCCCGTACCGTGGTATCGATCGCAGTCGCGCCGAGCGATCCCAGGTGGGCTCTGCTCTCAACGATGCGATCGAGTCCGGCGAACAGAAGGCGGGCGAGCTACTAGTAGCTGGCATTACTACTAGGAGCAAGCAGCTACTAGGGGCTCCTGGCCTCGCTACTAGGAGCAAGGACGCTACTAGTAGCATTACTACTAGGAACAAAAAGCTACTAGGCACAAGGGCATTACTACGATGGACACCCGCAGACGCGGAACTTTGTTTAGCAAGAGCTGGAAGTTTCTGGTTTGAGGAGGTCAGATCTGTGGGTTCCAAACCAGGAACCCGGCTCATACACGCGCACACACAACATCCTGTAACCAGGTTGACTCCACTTCTCAGAGCCAGTCTCCCTCTTTCACCCACTGACCGAATTCTCATAGAGTCACTCACTGACCGGTACTCATTTCGTCAAACGGTGCTTCGACCGGCCGAAAGAAGGACCGCTCCTTCGACCCGACCGTGGCTTCGGACTCGACCGTCGCTCGCGTCTCTTCGACAGGAGTCCTTGGCATCCGTGAAGACGTCCTTGAGCACCGTCGGTGATGCCATCGACAGCTTTGACAAGGCCGTTCGGGTCGATGTGGGTCGAGTGACGGATGGGTCGTTGAACTGAAAGAGCTTGTTGAACACATGCCGTTTTCTCATGTTTGGTTGCCCATGTCTGGTAGTGCATTCTGTTCATTTTGATGGGTCAACCAAGGGTCCCCCGGTTTTGACCCACAGTCAAGTGACTGATGAGGATGCGTGGAGACTCCGAATCTCCCCAAGAAGACCCTGGAATTTTTTGAATCAGGATGTGGGCATCAAGGACACCTTGGGCAGCCTGGTCTTGGCCGGATCTGACCTTGCGAACCAGCTTGCCACCAAGGCTGGATCCTGCCATCTGTATTTCATCTATTGCGAAGATCTTCATCTCCCTTTGTAGCAAGCTCTAGTTCCCCGTACCGGAGTGGCCCGCCTATGACCTCAGGACTTTCAGAACACAGAATGACCTGTGCCACACAAAATAGGTCAACGGCAGAAGACATGTTTGGTCCTTGGAACCAACGGGACAGAGCGGAGCCAGGTGCTGGAACTCAATGACGAGTACAAGGCATGAACTGGTGCACCCGAATGGCTTCAAATCGAAAGGGGAAGAACGCTAAATGCTCGTTGGGCCCACCAATGCAGCTTGGCTGAACTCTCAAGCGCAGGTGACCGACCAGATCAAAGCCAAGATCGAAGAAACCATGGAGAAGGCAGGCCTTCCCGGAGAACCAAGCATACTGTGTTTTCTGTGATTCTCCAAGTTGAGTGAAAGCTGCCATTCTAAACGAAGAGTTACCTCAAGAACGAGTATTTGGTCCATGGTACTGTGTAGGGCATAGTCATGCTGTCAACCAGAGGAATTGCTCACCTGTCTTCTCTATGCGGGCGTATAATAAGAAGCTCCCAAGTTTAGCGTCAACAACACGATCACATAAGCATAAAGCCAAGATTTCCACGTTGCAGAACTTGTGCACTTAGTCTGGTACATGCAAGACAGTACCGACTTGGCCCCAA